CCGTGGCACCCCCCTTTATGATCGCTGCTTTTTTGTGTGGACATCATCTAATGTTTTTGCAATATATATTTAGGGTCACTCCGTCTCGTGTGGCACAAAAAAAAAAAAAAAAAGAAGACAGTAGTAGCAATAATGCGAATGAAATAGAGAATTGAGAAATATAATTTATGAATATATGTTGTAAATTAATGAATACATGTTGTATATAGCATAACTTCCCCTTTATCAACCACGATTCGCTTTTCGATACTCCTGTATTTTCGTCACGTGACTCGCGTGATTTGTAGCGAAGAGCACTACTCCCATAATGTTTCTTCCTAATAAAGTTTCCGAGCGAGAATAATTAATAAAATTAGTTATAATGGATAAAAAGTTTTATTTTTTATTTTTTTTTGTCGCTTTTTTTATGTTGACATCATCATTACCACAACAAACACCGACGTGTAACTCAGGTTGCAGTTGTTCTATTCATTGCGATTTTAATGGTCGTAATTGCGGTGAATCTATTTGTATGTTGTTTTGAATTTCTGTAAAAGTATTATTTAACTAAATAATTTTAAATAATAGGTTCTTGTCTACAGAAAACTTTTTGTTCACGACCCATTTGTCCAAATGGCTGGTTTGAAGATCGTTGGGATTGGAATGGTATTTGGTACCGCTCTTGTGATTGTACAAGTTGTCCATAATTGTTAAATCTTTTTTTCTTTAAGAGTTTTCAATTCTGCCCGATCCTTTTTACCAGATATAGTTATACTGCGTAATGTGTTCATGTGGTGTAAGAAGTCTTGCTGCTTATAGTGATTTGTGCTATGTGATCGTCAAAACAATTTTGCGTTTATATATTAAATGGGGCCATTGTTGTGTAGCAATGTCGTAAGATTCTATTATATTGTACAATCAAATAAAACAATTATGCATCATTCTTAAATTAAATATTAATATTGTTTTTGGCATTTTCTTTAACATTTTATTATGTAACGACAAATGAAATTAGATATTACAATTTATATTAACGATAAATCTAGAATGTTTATAACGTCCAGTTGAATCATGAATAATAAGTGAATGTGGGGTATATCATTAGAATGTAGAATAGATCTCCGGCAATACACAAAAGAAGTAAAAAGGAGACAAATAAATAGAAAGTGCAATGAAATATACTATAAAAAAAAAGAATTTTATAAATTTAGATAAGGCAGGAAACATAATAACTAGAAATAAAAATAAAAAAAAATCATAAGAAAATAAAGAATCGGACCGAAAGCCTCAGGATGCGTTTTTAATAAAATAGGTAGAGCCATATGTGTGAAAAAAATCACATATATGTAAAGTAAAAAAATGGGAGGTCCTATGAGAAAAGAAAAAATACAAAATTTGATTATATAATTTACTAGTAATGGTTCACCAGGAGGTCCGAATATCATTTTAGCGGAAGAATATATCTTATCCAATATATCCAGAGTTGGTCAAATAACTGGTCGACCAAAAATTCATTGGTCAAACTGGTCCAGTCAAATTGGTCAAATGGTCTGGTCAAATTGGTCAAATGATCTAGTCTATTAAATAAATAAATTTAGTATACAAAATAAATAAATATATATAAATATATATATATATATATTATATATTTAAATATTCTTTGACCAATTTGACCAGTACTAAAACCTTTGACCAACTGGTCAAATTGGTCAAACTAGTCTGGTCAAGCTTGACCATTGACCGGTCTGTGCCAACCCTGAATATATCCAATATATGTCTTTAATTGTTTGTCATTGTGTCGAAATGGAGTAGAGGTGCTTATTTACAGTAGAATACGGTATATTAAAAAGATTCTTTTGACTCCATTATTATTTAATAATAAAATAATCTAATTAGAAGAATTAATATTGTATTTGATCTTTTAAAGATGATCAAAGTCACGTTTACTGTATCTCATACAAATGTTTCTTTATATACCAAATACAGTATTTTTGCAATTCAATAAAACAAGATTTTTGATACCTGAAACAGGAAGTGCTAATTCTTCATCCCTGGAAACTTTGCCGGAAGTGTTAATATTTAATCTGTTTTATTTAATTAAGAACTAATTACCAATAAGGAAGATAGTTGCTTCATTATACTTAGCGGGACTTATTAGGACCCGGATAATACTAATAGAGGTACGAGTTGAGTTAATAATAATCTTGATTCTGGTGAATTAATAGTTTTTAATAAAAAAAACTTGTTTATTCAAAAAACCTTTACATTTTAATTTTTCGCAATGTGCATTATCGTGAGGCTTAGCACGCGTATTAGAGCGTTTTGTTCTTTATGATTCTGCATTTCCTGCGATGCAATTAAATGTGAATTATAAAAAAAAAACTTGTTTATTCAAAAAAAAAGAAAAAATTTTACATTTTCACAAAACCTAATTTTTCGAAAATGTGCATTATCACGCAGCATTTTTGAGGTTAGTACGCGTATTAGAACGCGTGTTGCAATGCAATATACATAATATAATAATAGTCTATTATTAAATTAAACATTTTAATATAAAAACTACTCTAAAAAAACCTGTTTTAAGTTAATAAACATGTTCAGGTTCGCCACCTTATTATGATGATAGAGTAATGGGTGTTATTATTTAATAAGGTAGCTGCGCAACGCAGTTGTGCGAAACATAAAAATAACTACTTGTGAAACATATAGGCTTAATTAGTACACAATAAAAAAACGTTTAATATTTTTTTATAGTCCTTGCTTATTCTGTATTTTTTGTTACTAAAAAACAATATAATATAGAAAATCCATAATAAACCAATCAGAAAGATATTTAATGCAAACGTTTGATTGTTAGTACTATTACCAGTGTATTCTATTATTGATATATGTTGTAGATCTTTTACATATTTTAACCCTGTTTTTAAAATAATCGTACTCGTAAAAACTTCAAATTCTATTTGTAATTTTGCCCAAATTTATACTTTAATTCTGCCTAAATTTATATTCTAATTTTGCCTAATTTATACTCTATTTTTCCCAAATTCAAATTCTGCCCAAATTAAATCCCAATTCTGCCAAAATTTTTACCTTAATTTTGCCCAAATTTATATTCCAATTCAGCCTAAATTAAACCCTAATTCAGCCAAAATTTATAATTCGATTATAAATTTGGGCAGAATTAGAGTAGAATTCGAATGTAAAATTCGAGGCAGAATTGGGGTTGAATTTAGGCGAAATTCGAATATAAATTTGTAGTTTAATTTGGGCAGAATTCGAATGCAAAATTAAAGTATAAATTTTGGCAGAATTAGGGTTTAATTTGGGCAGAATTCGAATATAAATTTGGGTAAACTTAGAGTATAAATTTTGGCAGAATTGGAGTTTAATTTGGGCAGAAATCGAATATAAATTGGGTAAAATTAGAATATATATCTATGAAAAATAATGAGAACAAATGTCATTAATCCTATTTGATTAGTAAGATCCGCTATTTTACATTTAATTCTATAAATCTATTATATATGATAACCAAATCTTGATAGTTTATTTTTTAATATTTATAGTGATCTGGGAGTATTTGATGTTGGAATTAGATAATCAAATTCGGATTTTCCACCATTAGATTGCTCTTCTCCATCCTCAATAATTGACTTTAAT